TTAATTTCAAGATGGCAGTCAATTAATTTTCCTGTACTACATCTAACTGCAACAATCAGAGAGCTGACAAGCTCCAAATATATCAGGATATGCACATCTAAACGATTCACCATATTCATAAAGTATTTTATTTGACCAATACATGATTTTTGGGGGTACTCCATCCAGGTACTCCATAGGGTACTCCATGGAGTAGGGCTCCGCATTTTGTCATCTCTCCTTCTAATATCACTTCACCTGAGTAGTCTCTTAAAATTGTAGCTTATCAAATATCTACAAAGGATATTGTGCATGCATCCAGTACTGTTATAATAATCATTAATGGCCATTAAGTACTGATATATTAATTTTTTAAATAATCATTCTTAAGGCTGCATTCTCATTTGAAACTCACCAACAGACATGATACAGACAGTAGCATTGCTTCCTGCACCTACGCTGTTGATAGGAATGCAAGTGTACTCTCAATCTTCTTTCACAGTGATGTTAAACACACCAGGGCTGCTGTTACCAATAAGTTTGCCACTAAAGTAGAAGTTATATGTATGGGCAGCAGGATTGGCATCTACACCACACTTCAGCATCACTGCACACTGTACACTGTTGTGTTTGTGAGAACAGTTGTAATCATGCTTGATGTTGGAGCATCTTTTAGGTGGAAAAATTAAATAAAAGAAAATGAATGTTTGCATATTGGCAAAAGTTTAGGATTCAGCTAGAAAAATATACAGTAAAAGACTCACAAGGTATAACAACATACAGTGAACATCAATGGTGCAGTTAAAAGTAACATTTCTGATGATTCCATTCCAAGCCATACACTGGTACATTCCAGCCTGAATTCTGTTAATTGCTGTAAAGTTACAACATAAACACTGTCTGTCACCAGAGTCTTTCCAGACTTTATCCAGGCTGTGAGGTGATGGATTGCCAGTCCCATTACAATGCAACGTTACATTGTCTCCTTCAGTTACTGGACTAGGGCAAAGTTGTATGGAAGGCTGTGGTGGGTCTGTAAATACATATTTATTTTCAAACCACAACAGAACAGTACTGACACAGTAATACTAACACTGCTAAAAGAGTAACAGGCCTTGTGCTTGTAAACCTCCAAATACATCATTTTTTCCCCTAAGCCTTGCTTGTAGACTGTTTCATTTCAATTGGTAAGTATTCCTAAAACCCCGACTTAAATAGAATACCCTCATGAAAACAACAATAAGGTAACAAAGACTTAATAATGTCACAGTACAAATGTTGATGGGTGAATTTTAGGCTAATGATGTTGTCATGAACAACAGTTACTGCAACAAAATTAATATCCTCAAGTTAGCATAGAAATTCAGATAGACCAAACATATTCCCTTCATCTTTTGGTTTGATATTTTGATTGGTCCTTGGACAAGTCAGTGAGTGATAATATCATCATGCATCATTCATTGCATAATATAATAATGAGCATATGCAGTTATCTGGCCTTAATATATCATGACATAATTATTACCAGAAAACTACAAAAAAGTTTTACCTAGTTTTAACTCAACTGAGGGATAAAATGAAACAATAGGGTTTGTACTGGCCTGTGTAAGTAAGATCAAACTTACAAACAAGAACTATCCTAATGTACATTTAGCATATTTACATTACAAGAAACTTACAAAAGACAGTAACTTGGGAAGTATATTGAGCAAATCCCACAGAATTTGCTGCTGTACATTATTTTGTAAACAGACCCATCATCTTCTTTTATCAGTTTTGTCAGAGTAAGAGTCTCTGATGTGGACAGTTCACTACTGTTTCCTTCTTTTGTCCAAGTTATGCCAGGCTTTGGATTTCCAGTAGCATTATTAAAGAACAGGGTCATCCCACTTCCTTCTACAACTTGATAAGCTGATGGGGCATGGTCAATACCAGGGGGTACTGCAGGGACAAATAATGGACGATGTAAGAGATTAGTTTCATGCATGATTACAAATATAATAACACTGTATGTTTCTTTTTGAAAAGTGACCAGCAAGAACCCACTTCTACCTTACCAGACCACAATGTTATCACAAAATTAATGTATATAATTTTCCATTGTACAGTGTTTTACTTGTTCAAAGGTCAACCGAGGACAAAAAATGTGACAGCAAATTTGGTTTATCCAACCATCCTCTCCTTATTCCTCCTAATAGTACATGTATTCGTTTTCACAACTTACAACAACAACTGTCTAATCACTTGGAGAATTAAGGAAATAATACAGGTATACAGCGGGTATTTAGAGAGACAGGATGCTTTACAAAAATACAGATTTGTGGCCACAGTGCTCTTTTCTTATCTACAAACTGCCCCATTTTATGCAGTTTTCCACTTACAGTGAACAGTGACATTAACTGTAGCTGTAGCTGGTGTTCCCACTCCATTATTGACTGTACATTGATACTGGATCATGTTGTCTGCTCTCCCAGGTCTGGTCACATTCTTAATAGTTAATGACATCTGGTAAAATAGAGAGAACATCCAAACTACCAATTCTTGTCCATGATATGCTGAGTTCAGGTTTACCAATGAAATCTATAACCACTACCAAGACTGATACATGCACTGATGGAGCCACTACAATCATATCAGAGAGAAAAGAAACATTTCATACTTTAAGACAACAATGGATAAAAAATGACCTAGCCACTTTCTGATCCATTTGATCAGGTGTCCCTGAATTAGCAGTTATGCCAAAGTATTTCTGACACTTAAATAAAGTTCTTATCTCATCTTATCTTATCAAGAGATACTACTGGCACACTATTCATAATAACTCTATGTTTCTCAATTATCTAAAAACATAGTGAATAATTGTGCAACTCAAACAGTTCTTTTACATAGTTACTGAAATAGTCATTTAATGAATCTTGGAGTTTAAATATTGACAGCATTCTTACAAAAAATTCTCACCTTTGATGTTGCAATTAATTCTGTTTCCTGACTTTCTTGTGTCCTGTAGTTTATATGATAATTATGGGAAAAAATTGAAAGTTTTTCTTTTCAGACTTGATCTACGTACCGGCCTTTGTAAAACTCTACAAGTTATAAAATCCAACCCGAGTCATATCAAATTTGCCTGAAAAAATTTACTAACCACATATATCCTTAAATATTTTTGCTTTTAGTCTCAGGGGCTGAGGACAAACTTCAGAGTAACCTTAACTGCAAACAAATGTTGACAACCTTTCATTTCAACTTTATTATCACTTAAGTTCAACCTATAATCTGACTCAATACCCACCTGTGGCAGTGATGCTGACATTAGCCTTGCTTCCTTTGCCTACTGTGTTTTCAGGAACACACGTGTACTCTCCATCTTCCGTCACACTGATGCTAAACACACCAAAGCTGCTCAGTTACCAATAAAGTTGCCATTAAAGTAGAAGTTATAAATATAAGCATCAGGGTTGGCATCCACACCACACTTCAGCATCACTGCACTATCACATAGCACCGTAGTATTGACTGGAGTTGTTAGCAGAGCTACAGCCTTTGGTAAATCTAAGGAAATGAAATTCAATTATATTTATGGCGTGGACTTGTGTGCTACCCAGAGAAGGAAAAAGATAAGGATCTATTATTAAGGTAATTGAAAGCACTTGAATGGAGGATGAAATGTTCAGTCAAGTTTAACTCCTGGGTAGATAAATACTCTTAAGTGTGTACCAAAAAGAAACAGTGTGAATACCTGTAGGAATAACTATTGAAAGTACAAGTGTAGTAATAACAAGAGGAAACGTGTGAATTATGACTGCAGACATTTTTGAAAGCTAATCACAGAAACATTTTGTAGTATAAATCTTCTATCAAATAATATTTTTTAAACTAGTCTAATAATAATTCATTCAAATTTAGAAAAACTCAAGAAATATCCTCATGGAGTATGGAGCATGATCATATCTGGGGGAACTTAAATAGAGATAAAACGAGGAACACCACAAGTATACAGTCTTCAGCATATAAAAATTATACCATGACAATAAGGAAAAAATACATAAAAAAACCATCTGTTTGAATCCAGTTCTATGTGTATTTCAGTACATACATGTAGTCTGCAAATAACCTTGACTGTGATTTCAAAACTGGATGCAATGAGTCAGGCAATTTTTGTCAAAATCATACTAGTGATATTAAACAAAGTCATGCTGGATGCTTGTTCAATTTTCAAATCATGTGCAGGATTTCAGAGCAAATCATACCCTATTGAGATCAATGACATGTACCCTAATAAACTACTACAAACACTGCTTTTGTTCTTATCTGTATTTTCAGAGTGCATGAAATTTCTAGTTATGATAAAAGTCATTTATTATTCATAATTCATAAGTGGAAATCTCTAAACCTTGTATGGATATCATGCAGTTAAGAAATGAGGCTTCCTTAAAAAAATAAAACAGCATGAACAAAAATTGTGTTGAAATTTAAGGATAGCACTTCATGCATGCCTGGCCTAATAATCATTCCTGTGGCTTATTTAGTTTTACAATAATGTAACTCTACTATCCTTCAGTGCTACAGTATCCCTAAGCTTAAAAAAAGGAAAGTGTGCATGAGCTGTAATATTCAATTGGCTGGATGTACAAGTAATATGATAGACACTTCATGAAAAAAAAAACTATAAATTTGATGGGTAACAGAGGTACAGAAGGGAACTCACAATGGACAGTGATGTTGACTGTGGCTGTGGATGGTGTCTCCACTCCATTACTGGCTGTACATCGATACTGGATCATGTTGTCTGCTCTCCCAGGTCTGGTCACATTGACAACTGACAACAAAGAAGTGTGAGAAAGAACTTGTAATGAGCCAACTTTGGTCCATGCTATAACAGGTGCTGCTTTTCCAGATGTATTGCATGACAATGTGATGCTGTTTCCTTCTTTGACATAGGTAGTGGCTGGGAAAACATCTACTAAAGGTGCATCTGAAATAGATGAAAGACAAAATAACAATTACTTTTTTTATATGACTATTTAAGCAATACTTGTATCAATCCACTGCCATACTGGTAGTATAGCAGTGGATTGATACTTCAGTGCAATGCAGGGTTGCTATTGTTTTGCAACTAAAAATGAATCTTGGTTCCTTGGGTTTGGTTTAAAAATTAGGGGGGGTGGTTCCCCTTAGCTCTTTAGATCTTTTTTTTTTTCATAGGACAACCTGTATGATTGTGTGCAACAAGGAGGTAAAACTTTAGAAACACATAAGCTGCACAGGCACACATACATCTGTTTAAACGTGCACTTTCGACACAAATTCACCTTCATTCATCTTTTGTAGCAATAATGTACAAGAAAAAATAGTTTTCACAAAAATATCTTGATAGTGCTTCACTTAAAAAACAGAAGGTCAGGCTACTTGCCCACAAGTGTGCAAAGTTCTTTTTGAGCCTTTTCATCTATTCATTATTCTATTTTTTTTCTATTTTTTTTTGTTTGATTCTTAATGCTGAGTGTTCAATAATTAATTTTTTCATCAGCTTCTTAAATTTTGATTTTTTAGTACATTGAGAGCTACATGGTCTAAAATTAGACAACTAATTTTCTGCAGTAAATGGTTTGAACCCGGGGGTAACATGTGAAGGTGTAGTCTGATCGTCCGGGTGAGTGTAGTCCTGAGAAGGACTGTTGTCGGTGGCAGTGACTGACGTTTCGACAACCTGTGCGGAAGTCATCATCAGAGTCAAGTGAATGATTGTTGTCAGTAGAATGTTCTTATTCCAGTTCGTGTGAAATGATCGGTTGGTTTTGCCGTGATGTTATTGGCTGTAAGACTCAAGTGACGTAAGTCGGTCGTGATTGGTCTGTTTCGGTCTGTCGGTAAAGNAGACTCCCCTAAACAGATGTCAACAACTACCCGCCCCATACAAACGACTCATTCACGACATAAACATCACAAACGACCGAAAAAGAACAACCTAACTTTACCGACAGACCGAAACAGACCAATCACGACCGACTTACGTCACTTGAGTCTTACAGCCAATAACATCACGGCAAAACCAACCGATCATTTCACACGAACTGGAATAAGAACATTCTACTGACAACAATCATTCACTTGACTCTGATGATGACTTCCGCACAGGTTGTCGAAACGTCAGTCACTGCCACCGACAACAGTCCTTCTCAGGACTACACTCACCCGGACGATCAGACTACACCTTCACAACTAATTTTCTGTTTATCTAGGAGTTTTTCTGTTTAGAACTTCCTCCAAAGTTTGCCCCCAAAAATAACAGTTGGATTCTTCTCATGATCAAAAACTACATTAATCTGTAAAAGTATGGAATTACAGTATATCTAATAGATAAAGGGGTTTTAAATCCTATTTTCACAGCCACATTAATGTGTACAAGGAACCACTTTCTGTAGAAGGAGGAAGATTAATTTAATCAACCAGGCAATTGTCCTTAATACTTTTATGTTCATATTCATATTTATTTAGTTCTGGGTGGTTAAAAGAACAAATTTGTAGAAAATTTTTTTTACTTACCGACTGCTATGACAGCAATGGTGGTATTGTCACCAGTACCAACTGCATTCAAAGGTACACAAGTGAACACTCCATCTGCTTGAACTATGACAGTATACTTACTCAAGTTGTCCATACCAATAAAGGTACCATTAAAATAACAGTGATACACATGTGGTGCAGGGTTGGCATCTGTTTTGCAGCTTAACACCATGTTCCTACCACATAGTACAGTAGTGTTGGTTGGGCAGCATGTAAAACTCATCCCATTTGGCTTGTCTACAAAACAAAAAAGATAACTAAAAGGGTTGTCTCACTGCTTACATAAAAATGTTTCAAAGCTGATGAATAAGAAGCCACCAATTTGCCAACTGAGACTGAAATATATGTATGATGAATGATCTCATGTATGATCTCATGTGGTGTCCCACAGGGGTCTGTGCTTGGCCCTCTCTTATTCTTAATCTATATTAGCGATATTCATAACTTTTCAGCGAAATTGTCATTCTATCTCTTTGCTGACGACACAAGCTTGTTGTATACTGACTCTAATTTGAAATCTCTTTGAAAAACCATCAATAACAAACTGCTCAAACTCTCTGACTGGCTCAATGTAAATAAGTTAACTGTGTTATCTTTCGTCCATATCAACGTAAGTTGAACTACTTGGTTAACATTAAAATGATTGACAACTCAGTACTCAAATTCCTACCACGCTTCAGTGCGAAGACCATGTTAAATATCTTGGCGTCCTATTGGACAGCAATCTAAGTTGGAAATCTCAAATTAATAATGTTGCGATGAAAATAAGCAGAACTGTTGGTGTTCTTGCCCGTCTTAGGCACTTCGTCCCATGTAAAACCCTTTTAAATATCTATCAGTCATTGATCTTGCCTCATCTGACATATGGTTTGGTGGCTTGGGGTCAAGCTGCCAAAACCCATTTACAAAAAATTCTCATGCTTCAAAAACGAGTTCTTCATTTGATATACTTTTCTGAGAGCCCATGTTGTGCCTTTATTTATTTCCTCAAAAATTCTACCTTTACAAATGTTATATGCTGAAAAAGTATCTTCTATAATGTTTGACGTTTCCTGCATGAATGCTCCATCTAACATCTGTGACTTCTTTACTAAAGCTAATTCAAAGCACAAGCATGAGACCACGTTTTCTTCATCTGGAAATTATTATGTTCAAACTTCAAGACTGAATCTAAATCAAGATTCTTTTTCCAGGTTTGGAGTTAAACTTTGGAACACAATTCCTAACGAATTTCGTCGACTCTCCAAAGGGGCTTTTAAGAAAAATTTTCATGACTCTTTGCTCTCAATAATGGAAGCAGAGGA